GGAGATAAGCCCATGGGTTAAACATGGGCTCCCCACACCCCTGTGACCTGCTGTCTTTGAGAGGTTTGCAGCTCCAGGAAGAGGTGCGCACCTTCTTTTTGGGTGCTGGAGACAGGCGTATGTGTTTGACCAGCTTCCAACTCTCACAAGGAGTTTGGTACACCTTCACTCCAGGCTGCCCTCTCCCTGTTTTGGTGCCAAGATTTTGGCTGGCCGGCTTGGCTTGGGAAATGCTTAGCCTCCTCAGGCTTGGGTGCGAAAGCGCAAATCTCTCTGATGCCCAACTGTTCATGCATTCAACCTCAGCAGCTTGAAATACAGTCATCAGCCTTCCTTGCAAACGCAGAGGCTGGCTAGGCAAGCGAGAAGGGTTAAAACAAGCACTCAGGGGGGTTGCAACCTGGAAATCTCTGTGCTTGCCAGGCCGATAGCAGCAGCAGCATGCATCTACTGAATGCCATCCCATGCAGCAAAAGATTCATCTCAGAGAGATGACGTTCTCACAAGTGCTGTGACAATGAATGCCTGGGTAGAGGAGGGAGAAATCAAGTCCCAGAGAAGGAGAGCTGATGATGACTAAGGCCAGATCGACTTGGAGAGGTAATAATCAGCTGGTTAATCGGCATATGGGTACCACATGGGCCCACCAACACTGACCCAGCCGTGTCCTCACTGTCCCAGATTAAGGCATAGCGATACATGTGGGGGGAGCTAGGGAGGCGGGATGGAGCAAGGAGGACTGCAGCAGGCAGAGCACAGGCAGAAATGAGTAGGAAACCTGGCTCACTGGTTCTGCTGTGCTTGGGATAATTTGTTTGCAGCTCTTTCAAGCCCTCAGAGCCTGACTGGGGAATGTGTTCAAGCTCGTCTCCCAAACCCTGTGGCTACAAAGCTGGGTTTGGCTGCAGTTCAAGCCAAGGCTCTGCCCAGAAGAGAGCTCCAGCAGCTCAGACTTTCGAAGGGGTGAGTCTGAAACAGCAGCATTGCTGAACGCTCCTTGCAATTCACCGCGCTGGCTCTGATGGGCTGAGACGCAGTGGGAGACCTCAGCAGGAGACCTCCCGCGGGCTCTGCGGGACCTTGGTGCAGGATCTGCGATCAAAGCTTTAGCTGCTCTCCGCAGAAGCAGGAGCCCTGTGGCTCCCACGGAGGAATTTGGGGGGTGAATCTGTGCCGCTCCGGCCACTGTTACGCTCACATGGCAGCTGCAGACAGTCAACCTGGCTAGCGGGTGGTGGGTGGCTGGGAGCTCTCCCCGCGCTCACCCCGTGCTCAGCCGGCTGGGCCATGAGCCATGCAGCCAGCTGAGGGCACGCATTTGATGCCGTCTTCAAGAATTGGCCAGGATTGCATTTGTATTTTTTATTTTTTTATCAGACGCTGGCATCTTTGAGTTAGGAAGCCAGGGGAACATGTCCTGGAAGGAAGAAGACGAGGCGATTAAACGCACTGGGAAAACTGGTCCGGCCTGAGGAGCTGTCGACGCCGCACCTGGTGCGCAGCGCGTTGCTGCGGGCGCTGGGCGTGCGAGGTGCCAAAGGCAGCCGCTGTGCTGCCGTGCTCTCGTCCCACTCTGAAAAAGAGACAGTGATTCAATGGGGATCATCTGCTTCGGGCCATGAGGGATCTCCCTATCCAGCCCTTCCCTGATTTCACCCAGCCGCTTCCCTGCTCGCCCCACCAAGCAATGGGTTGAGGATTGGAGATGCAAAACCGGCTCCTGCCAGCCTTTACCAACCTGCTGGCTTCAGGAGCTCTACCCACCAGTGCTGCTGGTCGCAGATGGGCACCAGGAACCCCCTGCGCACCGGGCTCCTTGCCGCTACTGCAGCTGGTGAGCCAGTGGGTTGCGCCGGCAGCGGCAGGGGGGGGGGGGGCCC